AGACAGGCATTGACAGGTGAAGTGAGACAGGTACTGACAGGTGAAGTGAGACAGGTACTGACAGATGAGTTACCTGTAGCCCAGATATCGACAGGTGAAGTGAGACAGGTGATGGTTCCAGTTCTCAGAACAGACAGTAAACAAAGTGGAGATGAATTGAAACTGGAGACGATTTGACCCGTTCACCTGTAACACAACTAACACACACACACACACACACACACACACAGAGAAACTGTTGCTAGGAGACGGGATAACATGATATCATTGATCCTGTATTGATCATCAGTCTCACCACAATCAGCTTCATCAGACGCGTCGGGACAATCGACCACAGCGTCACACTGACTGTTACCATGGATACAACTTCCTGTCTGACACTGGAAGTGACCGGCTGCACAAGGAGCTGTTCACAAACCACGAGACCCATAATACATAATATTAATAAATAATCAATAACACAGCTATGTTCTGTCGATATAAACTGCAGTCTGACCTCTGACCTCTGACTCACCTGGTGACCCCAAGTCAACCCCAGAGGTGAAGTTGGCACTAAATCCTCGGCTGTGACTTGAGACGTCTATGAAGAACCACACTGTCATCTGATTGGTTGTGGAGAACAAGTCATGGGTGGGGCCATCATTCCCGGTGAGGACAGCTGAAAAAAATAAAAACATGTAAAAATGTGAAGAGGAAATGGAACGATGCTGAAGAGCATTATGGGTAATACCTCCTCACCCAGCAAGGTGGAGTTTGATCCCGCCCCGTCCCGCACCTCTACGACATCATAGGTTGCTTCAACATCAAAGTCCAGGAAGTGGAGCTGAATGTTTTGACCCTCCACCGTGTGGAGAGTCCACAGACCTGCAGCAAAGCATCATGGGTAACTGAACAACGCAGATGACAGGTAAACATAACATCACAGATCACATGATATCACAGGACTTGTACTCACATTGAGCCTTGTTCCCGTGGGATTGTGGGTAGTTTGGCGAGCTAAAGGTGGAGTTTGGCTCCCAGAGGTCAAAGGGCCCTCCACAGTCAGCTGGGTCAATGAGAGCAGAGGGGATGCAATCAGATGAAAAGAAACTGATCAAAAGGATTTCATTAGTAAGCTTTGAGGGGACGTAGTCTAGCAACGTCTATAGCACCTGACAAAGGGGCATAGTCTGAATCTCACCTGGTACAAGGGGTGTGGTCTGAATTTCACGTGGTACAAGGGGTGTGGCCAAACTCGCTTCCTAGATATGGGGATGTGGACTATGTATCTTGCAAGGGGCATGGTCTTAATCTTGTCTGGGGTGTGTTCTGGGGTGTGGTCTTTGTCTCACTTGGTATAGGGGCCGGAGTGGTCATTGGCGGGACATTCGTTGGTTCAGGAGGATTGGGGCCACAGGGATTGGCAGTCAGAGTGATGTCATCCAGGCCAATGTCATTCCATATCCCTCCTTCCTTCAGGGCCTCAAACACCACCTGCAGAGGTCAGAGTATATACACCAACCAATCACCTATTGGTGAGGCTCGATAACATGATCACTCGGTGATGTCACTGACCATGCCCTTTGTTGTCAAGTCTAGGGTCACCTGGCCGTAGTTCCAGTTGTCGCCATAGTTACCATCTCTCTGGAACACTACGGTAACTGCAGGTTTTGATCGCAGCAGCAGAACTCTGAGACATTGGACATCGTCTCCGAACATGTGGTACCTGTTTTTTGTTCATATTGTAGTTGTTTACATGTTTTTTTGTTGTTTACATGTTTTTTGTTGTTTACATGTTTATTGTAGTTGTTTACCAGAAGCTCAGACACATGGGCTGTGTGGGAGGATTCAGAGGGAGGCTGTGGATCCTGAAGCTCTTCAGCCATTGGCCGGGACTCCAAGGTGTGACGAGGTAGAAACCTGACAGAGTTGAACTGATCAATAATCAATAATGTATCAATAACAAACAGCCCATTTCATTTGATGACATCATCCACATCAAACCCACCAGAGCCGTTACCCAGCGTGTGGTCCAAACTTGGTCCGGTCAGCGGAGGAAACGTGGAGCCATTTGTTCGAATCCAGTCTCCATCGTCATCGTCCTGCTGCTGCCTCCAGAAACAGATGCCTTGCTCAAAGGTGCAGGTCAGTTTCTGTTGATCTGAGACAAACAAACAAACAGTCAATCAGTCAACATGATCACAGAGTATAACCTGAGGTGTGACGTTTTACCAGAGAGGCTGGACAAGTTGGTGGCGCTGTAGGTGGCATTGAATCTTGACAGGTTGGTGACATCATCAGCGATAAACTCCACAGTTGATTGGTCCGTCAGCAGCCAAACCGTCCTAGGAGGGGCGGAGCCCGAGAGCTCAGCTACAAATCAGATCAACATGTCGTCAGGTGACCTAAGTCTTCTTCTTTATTGGCTGGTGGCAACAAATGTCAAGGTGCATCACTGCCATCTACTGTATTGGTGCACCGTTCATGGAGGTACTGCAATACCAAGTCGATGCTTCATAGTTAGTTTACCTGTGAGCAGTTTGTTTGGTCCAACTCCTTCATAAATCTTCAGGTTGTTGACGTTTGGTTGTGTTTCATGAAAATTGACCTGAACCGAAAAACCTCGATCGACTCTAAAATCAACACAAACATTGATTAAAAACAAGAGTTGGAGAGTATCAGAGTAAAAGCACAGTTCAGTCATTCTAACAGGACACATGTGTAGTAGCTGTATATAGTGTGTAGACAGTGTTTGTATTTATTCTTTATTGTGTGTACTGTGTGAATAGAGTGTATTGTGTGTGCAATGTGTACAATGTGTGTAGTCGTAGCACCTGATAATCCAGCGGCAGAAAGTTGTCTCAGAAATGTTGGATGAGCTGAAGGAACCTGTCGGTCCTCTCAGCACAAACTGTCCGTCACATACTGTTGCTATGGAAACAGTATGATGATACTATCAGTTGTCTTAAAACAACATATATATATATACATTATATATATTATATATATATATATATATATATAAAATAAATTATTATTTTGATATAAAGTGCTTTGAGTGGTCATCGAGACTAGTTAAAGTGTCAAATGTAAAAATACAGAGCATTTACAATATAAAACTTTATCAATAAGTACTGACCACAGCGAGTGACATCTTCATCTGAGGCATCGGGACAGTCGTCGACCCCGTCACAGAAACAATTGATCAGAACACACGTCAATCGATCAGCGCAGTGTTTCTGATGAGGAGGACACATCGCTATGGAAACCAAAGCAAACATTAGAGTGTACACTGTGTGTATGATGTGTGCGTTAATGACTTGTGTTGTCACCTGTTGTAGGTGTGATGCTCGTCTGTGTCTCAGTCATCTGCATCTCCGTCGTCGGTGTCTCCGTCGTCAGCCTCTCAATCGCTGTTGTCTCCGTCGGCGGCGTCTCCGTTGTCTGGTCTCGTTTCTCTGCAGAAAAAGTTTCACTTAAACATAAAACTCACTCAAAAGTTTTTTAATAGAAAGAATCTCACTTTTTTTTAATATGTTCTAATTGTATCTAATCTGTTCTAATCTGTTGTAATATGATCTAATTTTATCTAATCTAAACTAATCTGTTCTTATCTGATTGTATCTGTTTTAATCGGATCTAGTCTGTTCTAATATGATCTAATCTTTGTGAACATGATCTAATCTCATCTACTCTGATGTTTTCTGATCTAATTTGTTTTAATATGGTGTAATCTGTTATAATTTGTCTAATATATATAATCTAATCAATTATGTTCTACTCTGATCTAATCTAAACTAATTTGTTCTAATCTCGTCTAATATGGTTTTATATAATATGATCAGTTTTAATCTGATCCATTCTGCTCTAGTCTGATCTAAATTTATATTTTTTCTAATTTGATCTAATCTGTTTTTATGTTATCCCTTCTAATCTGATCTAGTATGTTCGAACATTATCTAATCTCGTCTAATCTGATGTATTCTGTTCTAATGTGATTTAATATGTTCTAATCCCGTCTAATCTCACTGTCACTTTGTTTACCTGTGATATGGATGCTGCTCCTGTCAATCACCAATCCTCTGTTCTCTGCCTCTGTAAGCCCCACCCCCAGTTGCTGCCCCACTTCCTTCACGTCGATAAAATTATAAAACCAGAGATCAAAGGACACGGCCACGCTGCCTTGTCTGAAAACAAATATCAATAGATTATCAGTCAATCACTCAATTATGACTAATAGACTGATAATCCATCAATCGAGTAATCAATATCAAATCAAAGAGTTAGTGATTAACCAACACATTGTGATTTATCAGTTTTAATGTCATTGGTCAGTGTATAAATGTGATTGATCTGTTATTAATTATAATTGATCAAATTTCTGACCTGAAGTTTAACACCTGACAGGACTTGTAGAGTCGCCTGAGCTCAGTGAGGCCAAATGCCTCAGACACCTGTCGACCAATCAGAGGTCAGATATGTTTATAGGGGTTAGTTAAACGTGATCAGATCAGTATTGCTCACCTGCTCAGAGTGAACCATCATTCTTCATTGAACGTATCACAGACACATCACCAGCTCGTGAGAAGTCTTGTGCATGGTGTGTGTTGCCAGGCAACAACAACATGGATGCTTCTGAGGCTAACAAGCTAGCATGCTAGCAGGTTGATGATGTAATGCAAAATGTTTACATGTGACCCTCATGAGGTCAGATTGACCATAAACCTGACCCTCACTGTCTTTCAAAATAAAGGCTGATAACTGGAGGCCACCTTTCGCCCTTTAAAATAAAGGCTGATAAATAAAGCTGCTGCTCTTGGTTTTCTTCCTGTTTTCTCACCAGCTGTTGGACATCAAACGCCAGAGATTTAAAGGTGGGACTGCTGCAGTTCGTCAGCTCCTCAGAGAACTCCGCGCCCTGTGTGATCACCATCCGACCGCTCAGCACCACAGGCTCAACGGCACCTCGGCACAAACACATCAACACTCGTCATAGGGCTCCTCTGAGGACAATCAGTTAATTGACTTATTAATTTACCTTCAGAACCGAGACTGATCCATGAAACCACGATCAGTCCAACACAACAGATCATAAGAAGAAAAGAAATGACAGCGAGACACAACTCCAGAGACGACAGACGTTGCTTCATCCTGAGGACTTAATGGAAAATACACAATCAATAAATCAGCTGCTGCTGCTTGTTCCTGCAGACCTCAGTTTCCTGTGAGATTCTAAAATCTGACGTCCAAGGATCCGACTCTGACCTGTGATCAGTTTTATTGGGCTGAAAATGATTAATGACTTTATGATACAGCAGCTGATAATGAGCATTGATATGTGTGTGCTGGGAACACGGAGCAGCAGGAAGTAAACTTTGTTATTCCCATGATTTATGTGTTAAAACTGTTTTAATGAGTTTGAAGTCCAGAACTGTCGACAATCTGTCAATCAAACAGCAGTAATGTCCCTGACTTCAGTAAAACAGTTCTTCAGATCCACGTTTCAACACAAACGGTTTGTTTATCACAATCTAAAGTCCACAGGTGAAAACTTGTGACCCTGCCCCCTGTACTCACCTGTCAGGTAATAACAGATGATGATGTTCACAAACAGACTAGCTTGAAACCAACTTTATTGATTCTGATTCATTTTGACAGTTCATACATTTACAACATATGTAGGATTTCAGGTAATATATCAATCAATAAAAAATCAACAACATAATCAGATTGGAAATTATAGAAGATCTATAACATAGAATCAATAAATGAGATGACGATTAGGGCATAATTTTAATCTGAAATCCTGATCTTGGTGGTCATTTCCTGTGCTAAATCTGAATATCAGCGATCACTGACTGTATATAAAGATGATCACTGACTGTATATAAAGATGATCACTGACTGTATATAAAGA